ATTTCTTCTCAGTCCCCGGTTTCTTCCCCACAAATCGACATCGAACTTTCGTTCTAATCGATCTTCAATTTGTCTAATTCATTTTCTCCTCTATGTATTGCTTGTGATTCCAACCACTAGTACTACTGATTTCTTAGGCATTATGTTGTTGTCAGTTGTATATTTTCAAGATTCAAGATTTATTTTTAAGATTTTCATTCTCAATGTCCCTTTTCTTTTATACGAAGATAAATTTAAATGGAAGAAAAATAAGGATGGAGGTGATGGTAATGGTGGTTGTGGATTGGGGGTGGTGAAGGTAAGTTGAATAGAAGGGGGAGGAAGGTGAGAGAAATATGAATTTTATTTGAAAGAATTATTTAACCTTCTATTTAGTATTTTAATTAATAATTTTAAAAAGTTAAAAAAGATAATTATGACGTGGTATTAATTTATGTGACATGGATTTGACATGTCATCTATTCAATGGAGAGTGAGATACACACATGGTAGGAGGGGCTTAAAAATCATTTTTTGATTGAGTTTAAGGATTTAGTTGGTAAAAGATTAAGTAGAAGGATCCACAATACAAACACATACAAATATGGGGGTCCATCAGACCCTTTTGCCGGAAGTTTATAAATCTTGAAATGTCTTGTAACTTCTTTTCTTCTCCTTTTCTTTTTCATGTATTTGTATTTATTTATTTTTATTGTGGATAGAAAATATGTAGGTATCTAATTGCTAGGAATTAGAATTTGTGTAGGATTGAGATTTTTGAGTTTGAGTATTTTAGGATTGTATGTTTTTTTAGTTAGATTTAGAATAGAAATAAAATTTTATGTGATTTGAAATTAGTTTTAGCAAGAAATTCTAAATAGATTAGGACTATTTTTAGAAATATTTTTCCTTCTTAATTTTTAATTTTTTTTTTCCTTTTTTACGTTTTGGTTTTATTTATTTTTATTTTTATTTTTTCATTCTGTCTCTTTGTATTATATTTTGTTTTTTTTTTTGTTTCTTTCTACTTTATCCTTTATTTTTTATATTTTTTATTCTTTTTGGACACTCTGTTTCTCGTCTTTTTTTTTTTTTTATTGTTTCTTTTATTTTATTGTTTTAATCATCTTTTTTTTTTCTTACGTTTTCATTTTATTTTTTTGTTCTTCTTACTTTCTGGTTTTAATTTTTTTTTTTTGTTTCTGTTATGCTCTATTTTTTATTATTATTCTTTTGAGTTTGCGTTTGTTCTGTTTTTATTTTTACTTTTTTTCTTATGCTTTCTCACTTTTTTAAAAATTATTTTTCTTAATTATTCATTATTTTTTTTTTTTTACCATAAATCTCTAAATAAATATTCATATATCCTCTTAATTATATATCTTAATAATTCGAATTAAAGCGATAATCATCTTAACACTTATTCTAAAGGCAAACTATTTTTTAATTCAAAATAATAATATTAAAAAAAAGACTAAAACACATTCCTCATAGGTTTTCTAAAAGCACTAATCAATTAAACTTCAGTTTATATCCTAATCTAACAAGTCTACAAATAATTTCACAAAATTTTCTTAAGTGAAAACTAAGGTCCAAGAAACCTTAGCTATTCAAAATTAAATATCACGAAACCAATTTTCAATATTAATTGCATCTAAAGAGCATAAGACAATAATAAAAAAAAATGTATGATACATCTTTTCTTTTCTTTTTTATATTATTTTTTAAGCAAGAAATGTCTTCGGTTCCGTTTTCCTAAGCATTCGTAAATTCTCAAAAAAAATCAAAAAAAAATCACAACATGCATCACAGATTGATATTACATAATAATAACATGCGATTCAAAGAACTTCATATTATTGGAATCGAGTTTTCATACAAGTACTCTATTTAACTCATGCGAGGATTTAGAATTACCTCGCTGGGAAAATTAATACCGCAAAAACAACTGCTACGATCTACTGATTTTCAAAGTTAATAGCTAGTATTAACTTTAAAGAGCCACGAACCTGAAACCTTGAGTGAAACCTTGAACGCTGACTTAATTTTCAAAATAAAACTCACTTTTTGTTATCTTTTTCTCTCTGTGTTTCTGTGTATATGTCTATATGTGTATATCTTCTTTACTGAGGTTGTGTTTTTATAATAGTTTTGGGTGTGAGTCTGGTGCTAATTAAAAGGAACGTGATGGAGTGAGAATAGGATTTAATTTAAAATTTAGTTGAGAATTTTAGGGTTGAGATAAAGGAAGAAAAATAGTAATATAATATTTAACAAGCAAATAATAAAAAATAAAAAAATAAAAAAAGAAAGAACATCGTGCAAGAGGAGAAAAAAAAACAGAATAAAAAATAAAATAAACTAAATGGGAGGAGGATTTTTAGCAAATAAGTTAAGGAAGTTGGGGGTAATTAGGATAAAGGTAAGGTAATTTGAAATTTTTAGGACTCTTCTTTTTATGTTTTATTATTATTTTTTTCTACTTTTCCATGATATATACGACTATTATTATTTTTTAAACTAGATAAAAAGTTGAAAGATTAAAACAAAATACGTTAAATTCAAAAGCTTTCTTGATTAAACTTTAAACATAAAGTGAACTTATAATTTTATTGTAATTTTCAGTTTATTTATTTTTCATTTATTTTAAATATAACCCTACTGAAATATTAAAATTGGATGTAAAATCTTTATGTTTTGATAAAAAATTAGGTGTTCACAATTCCTTTTGATTCTGGAAGACGATCTTTTCCTGGAATGACGTTTGCGTCGTCACTAGTGACACATGTAATTCTTGGTGGATTGCTTCAAGGTTTTGATTTTAATATACCATCGAATATGCCCCATATGATATGACAGAAGGCATAGGCATTACTATGCCAAAGGCTAATCAAGTGGAAGTAGTGATTAAACCTCGTTTGTTTTCTAAGTTTTATGAACTCTGAGATATAATTAAGCAAATAAAAATATATCTTTATAAGTGTTTCTTTATTATTTAATATCTCCTCATCTTGCTAATTACGTACAAAATTGTGTTTGGAGTGATAATTTAAAGTTACTCTTGATATACAATGGACTTAACTCCTCATATTTTATATTAGACTAGTACCCCTTACTAATTTTCAATTGAGAATGTTAATTTTCTATCGGTGCTAAAAATGTTTATTTAAGAAAAAATATTTATTAGCATATAATAGTATATACAATCAGTAACAAATCTTCTTCTTTTTTTCAATGATATCTCACATTTGGATCCATTTTCATTCTAAATATATTCAAAAGTCACTAAACTATTTTTGTATCCAAAGTCGAGAAAATCACAAGAGTGGTCATTACATATTTTTGGTAATAGGTTCAAAATAGTTCTTTAAATATCAAATGAACAATTTTGGCATTTAACCTTGCCAATAGAGACCACCTTTGATTTTCGTCATATATTTATCAAACTATGATCGCTGAATTTAATAGGAACAATGAAAATTTAAAATATATATAATGGGAACTCACATTTGAAAGTTTGTAAGTTTTATGTTATTTTGGACTATTTCTAGAACTTGGTGCAACATTGAGAGGTGTAGTTTAATCTACTTTTGTGTCTGGAATAATTTGAAGTTTTATACTCCCTTGGTTTAATAATACTAGTTGTTTATTAGATTATTTTTATAGTGTTTTTGCAAAATTATATATAAATATTTTTGAAATAATTATTATTTACTTACTTAAGAAATACTAATAAATAAATAAATAGCCCGCTTATTTTATTTTTTAAAACAAGAAATGCTATTAACCATGATGCTGCACTAAATAACCTGAGTTGAGGACAACACACATTCTTCAACAATGTGCTGATGGTGATGACGATGCCACAAAATTAATATAATATAATATATTATATTATGTGATATTATAATATAATATAATGATGCACGTGATTACTTTGAATTTTACTCTTTAGAGTTTTCATTGTATGTCAGGTAATCATAAAAAATGTTACTGTACACTTAGGGTTTTTGAGTTTATCAGACATTTACAGGTTTATTAATTTTTCTATCTGAAATATTATTTACATTTCTATTTTTTGGATTATTAGAACTATCATTTTTGTTTTTCACTTTTCTGGTATGAATATTGAAAGCTAAACATTCTTGGGCATACGCCTTCGACATTTTAAAAAGGAAAAATTATGCGGACAAGTAAATATATATATATTTTGTCTTAATTATAATTTGCAACTTATTTTAGTTATAATTATGCGGTTCGGTTTTTAGTCTAGTATAATTTGCACGTTTGTATAATTCAGAATTTGTATAGTATAATTTGTATAACTGTTAAAAGTTCAGATGTTTGTATTTGTATAGATTCGTTATTTCGAATTTATATAAAACTAGTTGAATAATACAAACGTACCCAAGAATTGTTTAAACTCACCCACTAATTATACAAACTGCGAATTATACAAATGAGGTAGTTTAAACTGTAGCTACAATTCATAAATATGCAAATTATAGCTGTGAAGCATAATTAAATTTATTATAGTGGCTATTTGCGAAAGTTTCCTATTTAAAAAACTATAATACATAAAATAATTAGCAAAAATTTCATCGAAAACACTGCATCAAATTTCCTTTTTTTTATTTTTAAAATCAAGGGTTTACATTTTACTTATTTCTACTAGCTATTATTAATTGGTTAGTCTACCTGAAAGTTACTTAAAACTTTATTAATGCATGTAACTTCTATAACCATTAATCAAAATAAAATGAATTAACTGCAGAATCAAAATTATTTATTCAGATCATAATTGTCATACAACAGATTACAGAAATGCATCCTTCCTTTCTTCCAATATTCCTAGTTTTTAACAATAGTTGGAGGAGGAGAAATAAGACGACAATGGTTCTTCATATTTTTTTCAATAAATATCTTTTCAAATCTCGATATGATTTCAAGTTTGAATCTTGAGAATGAAAATGAGCATTATTCCACCTTCAAAAGTGAGATTTTTTGGCGCGAAGCGAGCATTAAGCCAAATTGCCCAATTCAAATCTCTCCATTATACAATGACTATTCAAACTGGCTTTGGCTTTGGCTAGGCTATTTATTAACTCAACATTTCTCCTTTTTGGACTTGGAGAACACTCAATATTATTGCTTGTTTTGGTGGTGGAAATCGAATTTTCATCGAGAGAATTTAAACGTCTCTTTGGATAAACTCTATTATAGTCACCTACATTTGATCCAATCAAATGTGGGAAATTTAGCAACGCTCTTGCCCCTCGCATTTTATACGCGGCTCGGTCATAAGCTAATGCTGCATCCTCAGGTGTCTCGTATGTACCCAACCATACCCTATTATTCCCTTTCCTCTTGGGATCCCTTATCTCCGCGGCAAACTTCCCCCACGGACGCCTCCTTACCCCTCGATATCTCCTCCAACTCGGTGGAGCGTCTACATGACGCTCCTCCGTGGATGATAACTTAGTAGGACTAGGAATATCATGATTTACTAGTATTTGAGAAGAGTCAATAGTAATATTATTATTATTATTATTATTGACTGAGCTTATTTCTGAAAAGATTATATCTGAATTTTCAGAGAAATAATGTTCCATCGAATCGTAGAATAAAATATTGTTTAGGTCAAAATCTTCTAATGTAATAATTTCTGGCGGATTCATTTGGTTGAAAAATCTAAAGGAAAAAAACTTTATGGGATTTTTAGTGAGATAATTCTTGTTCTTCTGATTTTATTCTATATATAGTGGTCCTGCATAATATATTGTCTTACGCATTTCGAGGAAGCTCACATATTCATATATTATATTGTAATTTGTATAGTATGTATTTGGGCATGTGTTTTATACGAGTTTTAATGACCTTTGGAAGGAAAAATAAATATATACACTTAATTATTAAAGTATTCTGACCATCTCATTTTATGTGTTTTTTTCTTTTTCGGAAGCTTAGAGAAATCTACCGTCGCGCACCGGATACACTTGCTCTTATGTTTTTATCGGCCGAGTCCGATGCGATGAATACGACTAAGACAATTCTTTGATGAGATATCATCTATTGCATCAACTAATCATTCTTAAGAATATGACTATTTTTTTACTGAGTACGAAAATTTTAAAAAATTAAACACAATTTTTATATAAGTCAAATTTATGTGACATATCAACATTATTCATAAGTGATTGGGGTGAGAGGACTTTAGCATTTTAATTTCTATCTTTTTAAAAAATAATGTATTTTTATATTACGTAATTCCAACAGCCATTAAACATAAAATGAAAATATTAAATCAAACAATTTAAAGGTGCACTTCATGATAATTGGTCAAATATTTTTTTCCCAGTCACGTCTAAAGTTCAAGAAACTTGGGGTAATTTTGAATAACAGGTCAGAAGAAATAGTAAGCAATAAATTAGTAACATTTGGAGCTGTCAATTTGGGCGGATCCATCTCATTCGGGCTAATTCATACATGCTTTGAAATTTGACAAGTTAGGTCGGGCTGATCCATTTTTTTTTGTAGGTCAAAAAATAGCCGGGCCAGCCCACTTTTTAAAAAAATATATTTTTTATAATTTTTAAAATCATATTACATTTTTAAAATATTATTATAAATATCGACAAGACAATATTATATGGTATTAGTGTTACTATTGGTTAATCAAATATTTCTATTTTAATAAAATGAGAATAAATGACATCATAGAGCTATGATTAGGTTTTTCTTCGATCGTTTTTGGTTAATGATTTTTTTAATTATTAAAATCAAATTAAATATAATATATATTCATCAATTTAATTTTATACTCCCTTATTTGAAACTCATGATTTTCAAGAATAGGAAGGAAAGATTCTGATGAAATAATAATAAAATAATATAAATAGCGTGGCGGAGGAGTGGGTATTTGCAGACTTTATTTCTTTCTATTATATATAATATACTATTGGAAAAAATAAATTTAATAAGGCTCTCTTTTTTGTTGAATGGTAGAGAATATTAATTATTACAAATTCATATATCACCTACTATTATAAATTATCTTATAAGGTGACGATTGGTCAAAGTGTCGGTCCACAACTATAGTGTCTATTTTTAATTTTTATTCTTAAATTTAATTGTCTATTTTTTTTCCTTCTACATTTTAAGTAAAAATAAGTGATCAGAAATATTTTTGATATCGAATTAAAAAGTAATTTCATATTGCATGAGTTTATATTTTCATATCATAATATAATATAACACAAATACTTATGACTTAAAAGGCATAACAAGTTATATATCTTATTTTTAAGAAAATTATGATGAATAAGATAAAACTTCAGTTGAGAATCCACAAATTATGATGCCAGAGGCATAAATTTATTTCTGCCGAACTAATGCCAATAAAGGCAAAAAAATATTTAAATTAGGCCGAGTGAATTAAATGCTATATATAAAACTTATCCCAGATACGAAACTTATATTGACGAGATGAAAATTTTCTAAACTTATACCATGTAAAATTAGGTCCTAACTAATAACATTTTGACTCAATCAATATAAATATAATTAAATCAACATGATTATATCACACATCTTAAAAATTTCTCCTCAACTTGTGCCGATAAACCAATTACACGCTCAAATTATTATGACAATATATTATACACTTAATCTTTTTCGGCATAAATTCAAAGGGAATTTATGACGAAATAAAAATTTACATAGTTAATCTTAACTTATTTAGAACTGATGCATGGTAAAAAACATTTTGTCAGATAATAAAATGTTCTTCTAAAACTTTAGTTTTTTTCTTCTCCTTTTAAGAAAAATATTATTTTTGGCACGCATTTGTTATAGCATGGAGCTTTTATAGGAGTATATTATTATTAGTGGAGTATTAGAATTTGGCATGTGCTAAATATGAAATAATTTCATCTAAATTTTTTACATTAATACTAATAAAAATAATTATAGATAAATAAAATATAAATATTCTGACATACGCATTCAAAATTTAAAATATCTAAAGTTTTATATAATACAAAATTTTAAAAATATATTTTAACAAAACTCAACTTGTCACGATCCAGACCATCGTGATTGGCAACACTTCGGTGGGAGAACCACTACTACAACCCAAACCAAGCAACTGATCTAAAAACTAAGACATCAAGTATATGAAAGCAAAAATAATAGCTAAAACTAAAGTTCCCATAAACTTCAACAAAAGATCTAACAACTAACAATGCGGAAGAAATAACCTACAACCTGAAAGTCAATGTACCAAAACATCTAACAATGATCCCAAGTCTAAACAAGAAGGGATACAACCCCAAACTAATGAACTAATCAACTAACTAGAAAATAAGTCTAAATCCGAAAATGGTGGACATAGACGAAAGAGAATTTCATGGCAGCCCGGAAGAATTGGCTCACCCTTGAATTCGAACCACGATCACTGATCTCATAAGCGAGGTCTGTCAGTAGCCGCTTGAAGATGCAATGTACTCAACAAAAATAAGAGCAAGTGTAGTATCAGTACACAACCACAGTGTACTGATAGGATCACACGGCTATCCCACTAAGTGCAACATAAGCAAGTCAAGAAAACATAATAATCACATGCATATATATCAACATATACAATATTATCAACATTTACGAATAACAAACAACTTCACATTTTATATCAAATCATTGGTCCTCTCATGGAACCCAAACCCAAACAGTTAGCATACCGGAACGTGGTATCTGATCCCATAATTATACCGGAACGTGGCAATTGATCCCATGGTTATGCCGGAATGTGACAACTGATCCAAGTTAGTTATGCCGGATCGTGGCAACCGATCCAAGTTAGTTATGCCAGATCGTGGCAACCAATCCAAGTTAGTTATGCTGGAACGTGGCAACCAATCCATTCAACACACCACAATCACAAACACAAGTATATCTTCAAGATCATACATTTAAGTCATGATTTCATGTCAATCATCATTCATCTATCTCATTTACAACAAGTGTGATCAACATTGCAACATTCATACATATACAAGTATCATAATGAAGCAAGAACAATCATACATAACACAATCATAAAATCACAACCATTACCTATCTCGAAACAAGCTTGAAACTCTAAGAAACTTGATCCTTCCCTTTTCGGATTCGTTCCGCTTGTTCTTGGACTACAAACAATCAATATAATACGGGAATCAATAAACAATCATTAATTACCTGGATTACTAACAATTCTATAAACCCCTAGATCAAACTCATGATCTCAATTATCCAAATTAGGGTTGTTTCCACCATAGATCTATAACAACCCCCCCCCCAATCAATATTCACCCATTCTAGTACGTTCTATGGATCGAAAAATGGATTCGGGGAGTGAAAAGCTTACATTTAGCCTCAAGAATGGTGAAAAACGAGTAGGATTCGCCTCGGGTTCGTTCCTTAGCTCTAAAAGTCGAAAAGTGAATAATGAGGTCGTTTAGGAGTTTATTAATGACTTTAATTTGCGTCGAGCCCGCCAAAATAGTTGTCACCCCACTGTAGCGACCCCGCCAAAGCGGCAAAAAGTGGCGCCAATGCGGGTTACGCGAGACAGAGAGCTAATTCAAGAATTCCAAAATTCCCATGTCACAAAAAAACTCCAATCAACAACGCTCAGAAAATACTTTTTACGCCAAAATCGATTCCAGGAGTTCTACTCACCCGAATTCAATTCCGTAAAGTCGTACGGATTCTTTAACGAGTTATCTAACTATTCATGTAATCAAAATCATAATAAAATCACTCGATTGTTACCAGATTTCCCTACACCTTAAAGACTCCGATTACTTTTCTCACATGTCCCTCTCGATTTCCCAATTAGCTTCCTCAATTGGACCATGCTTCCATTGAACTTTCACGGACTTGATCTCCTTGGTCCTCAACTTGCGCACATTACGATCAAGAATTGCAATCGGTTCCTCCTCATATTGGAGGTGCTTGTCTAACACAATTGAGTCCCACTTTATGATATAATCCCCCTTCACTATGATATCTCTTCAACATGGACACATGATATACCAGATGAACTCCCGATAAATTAAGAGGTAAATCCAATCTATACGCTACCGGCCCTACATATTCAAGAATCTCAAATGGGCCAATGTATCTAGGACTTAACTTACCTTTCTTACCAAATCTCATCACCCCTTTAATGGGTGATACCTTAAGAAAAATATTCTCACCGGTTTGAAACGCTATGTCTCTTACCTTATGATCCGCATACTTCTTTTTTCTACTTTGGGCTGCTAGAAGTTTAGCTTGAATAATCCACACCTTATCTTGAGCATCCTTCCCTAAATCAACTCTCAAAGGTTTCACATCTCCAGCCTCAAACCAATCTATGGGTGATCTACATCCCCTCCCATATAATGCCTCAAATGGTGCCATATTAATACTGGAGTGATAACTATTATTATAAGAGAACTCACACAAAGGTATGAATTTATCCCAATGCCCTCCAAAATCAAGCACACATGCCCTCAATATATCTTCTAACACTTGAATAGTCCTTTCTGACTGCCCGTCTGTCTATGGATGGAAGGCTGCAAGTGAGTTG